AGTAGTAGATGTGCATCCAACCCCGGTCTCCCCAAGAGTCACCCCCCATTTCTGGAATGGTCACCGCTGCAGACAGCCAGTCTCACCTGTCACAGGCCAGCTCTCAGTTCACTTCCGTAGAGGTATTTATGTGCACGATATATAACTTTGGAGTTGCTATACTCCAGATACATTTGGAGAACATTAACCACAAAGATCAGTGAGGAGAGAAAAGAAATGTATTTTTTATTTGAAAACATGCCTTCTATGTCACAAAAGCATATTTCCACCATGGATAACTTCAATCTCCATTTCTCGCCCAGCACGTTCATTGATTTGTGTGATAAATATTTACAAGGTGCCTGCCTATGCCTGGCAGCCTTCTGGGACCTGGGATATTGCAGCCGACACTGCAAAACCTTTCCCCTGCAACAAGCTTTATTTGAGTGGAAGAAGGGACAGTCAGCGATCAATCAAATAAATACATCTGTGTGCAGAAGGCACCAAGAAACGCAGCGGTGAAGCGAGACAGCAACACATCAGAAGGCAGAGGTTGAGGCAGGTGGGAAGGGACGACCCTGCTTTGGGTTCCCCAAGGAGCCTTCTGCAGGGTGACATGTTAGCTGAGGTCCAGCAGTGCAAAGACCCCAGGAAAAATCTTTCTAATTAGCCCCACAGCTAAAGAACGTTAAAGTTTTGCTTCTGAAAATGGGGGTCATGAATGAGGGGAGTACTGATGTCCCAGGTTCCTGATAATAGCTGCAGTGTTTTTGCTGAAGACCGGCCCCGAAACATGGACGCCTTAGAGCCATCTCAGCCAACGTCCCCCGCAGCCTGGCCCCCAACCGCACTTAGGAATTTCCTGTATTGGCAATAAGGAGCCTGGGAACAAATCAGACGGGGAAAAACCCTAACAGCCGTCAAGGACCAACGCAGCACTGCTCAGCGAACCTGCGGACCTTCTGTGCTGCCCAGGTGACGGCCACTGGACGCCAGCTTGAAACGTGGCTGCTGCAGGAGAAACTGGTTTCTAAATTACATTTAAGTGATTTAAAGAAAATAGCCACATGTGGCTAATGGATATACCATATTGACAGAGCAGACCTCGAGGATTAATTTTTAATAATTTATCAGTGTCTTAAGTCCATATAAGCTAATTATTTCTTTAAAATTCTGAATATTAATGAGGAAAAAATGGACTGTTTCTACCTTATTTTGTAATACATTGGTTAAAAGGATATCGTAAGTACAGTGTATAATGAATTAGCTATCTTCCCGCTGTCGCCCTCCTCGTCTGCTTTTTCTATGGCATAGGCTGAAATACAGTTTTCTGTCCTCTGTGGCCTTGGAGGTGATGGTGAGACACTCTCCATAGGGAACCATTGAACCAGAACAATATACCAAAAGCTATTAAATTGAAGAGCAGTAGCCTCTATTCCCCAGGTGGGTTTTGTGTTCATAGTCATAATTTCCACTATTTCTGACTAGTAAGAAAGAACAGTGACAGAATCTGATTGAGGAAGTAAAAATCTGTGAGGATCATCTGGGGGGAATGTGTAGGCATTAATGGTGTTGTATAAAAAAAAGGGAGAGACAAAGTTTAAAACGATGAATGATGGCAAAAAAAGGTTGCAAAGCAATAGATGAGCTGTTGTTTATTTGTCATTCACCATAGGATTTTATCATGCAAATTAATATTTTAATTGTGATTGCTAATCTTAAAAAAAAAAAAGTTCAGAAATCAGCTATAAAAGTAATAATGTTCACTGAGCCCCAAAATGGAGTTACTGTAGGTGAAACATGCATTTTGGAAGGTGAATAGGAAAGAGGAAAATAAGACTTTCCCAGCGCTAAGATTTTCCAGAAACATATAGATCACTTTTGCTGTTCTAGGTTGGCAGGTTGAACTCAGTATACATGATTGGGACTATTTGGTAGATGTTAGTTTTGTGTAAACTGGTTCTCATGAGACGTATTCAAACGACTAAAGCTAGTAATCATTTCAATATTAGCCAAGGCTATCTTCAGTTTTCTTCTCGGTCTTCAATTTTAGCTTTAAAATGAATGGAACAATACATATTTTGCAAATTTCTATAAAAATACGTGGTGTAGACACGTATTTTAGTTATAATCATTAATATACAAGTGATTGTTAAGTTATCAAATAGTTGACAACTCCCGCTAACGAGTGCTTACTCACACTCTTCTCAGTGGGCAGACGTGGGCTGGTGAGGAGCCGTCCCTGGCCGCGGACTGTGACAGTGGGCTGTCACCGTCGGACTGCACATCCCCTGGTTTGTTGAGGACTAAGTTTAAGGAAGGGCAGGCAGTCACCTTCTGAATGCACCATTTGAGCAGATAAACCACCATGCAGAGAGCCGTCTCCCGAGCAGATTAGCATAAAGCAATTAGCGCGCGGTAATGAGGATTAGCTGCTCCTGCTGTGGCAGCACTGCCCCTGACCTCTTGGGCCCAGTCACTTAGGGACCTTTCAGGGTCCTTCGCTTTGTCGTTTCTGGGGAATTCTCTGCCCCATCCACCCTTGTCTCCTAGGAGCAAACCTCTAATTCTGCACAGATCTCTAACTCCTAATTTGTTGACAAGTAACTTGGTGTCCCTTTGAAAGAAAACAAGGTGCGCCTGTGGCGCATTGTCTTGGGGGCCCCGCCTCCCCAAGGCCTCCCCTTGTTCAGAGCTTTCTTTGCTGTCTGCTGACAACTCTGTTTCTGTTCCACATGTTTTTCTCGCTGGTTCTGTCCTGCTATCCACAGTCCTTTAGCTGGTGACTTTCCTTCCAAGCAGTGTGGGGAGGTCTGGGAAACAATAATATGACCTATTGGAGACACGAAAAATAACACTGCATAGCACCATTGAACCCTGCGGTTCTGCCCATGTCACATCACGGGGCATCTCTGCCACCCTCCACAGCACGACCCGTCGTGGCACCCTGGCCCATGAGCCGCTGCAGGCTGCCTCTGGAATACACACAGGGGTCACCCAGAGGGCAGGGAGAGCTTGGGGAAGAGGGCACAGACATCCCTGGAGGTGCCGAAGCCTGAGCTGAGTCTTAAAAGACATTTAACGCAGAAAGAATGCAGAGAGTGATGGTGGCGCTCCCGGGAGGAGGCAGAGGCACGGAAGGAATTGCACCCTCAGAGCCTGGTGCCTTGGGAGGTGTGGGTGCTCTAGGGGCTGGAGTGTGGGGCGGTGGTGGGACACGGCACTAGATACTGCGCAGCCAGCCCCTGCGCCCAGCCGGGAAGAGACACGCGTGTGTCTGTCTGTGTGGTGCTGGGCTGGGCGGGGCGGGGGCAGTGTTTGAACCACACAGATGGGTGTGCTCTCAGGAGAAGGGGGCGACTGAAGAAGCAGCAAATTTCAGAGAACAATAGGTATTGATAAGCTGACAGCAAAAGCCTGAGGTAACAAAGCTAGATTAGATGGTTCCAAAGTTACACTGGATACACTGCCCTGGGTACCTTGAGTCAAAACTGTCTTAGGCTTCATGCTGCAGGAACCTAGATTTCAGTGCGAATGGCACTCTTTTTTTCGGGTCAGAAATAAAGGGGTGGCCATTCCCAATGGGTGTTGTCAGGACACGGCTGCGTGCAGCCCCTTATGCGCCCTAAGTGGTGGCCACACTCCTGAGCAGCTGTGATGGCCGTCCAGCCTCGGAGCCGGCCATCTGCTTCCTCCCGCTGGACAGAACGCTCACCCTCAGAGTTCATGTTCCGGGGTCCGGAACTGCGGGTGCAGGGCGACGCATGGAACCTTTTGTTTTCCAGCACTCAAGCATGTGATGATGGGAACTGAAACTTAGATCAGCCTGCCGGGATTCACAGTCCTGATCCCAAAGGCGGGGAGAGAGCAAATCGCCCCAGTGGCGGCTGGTGCCGTCGTATCGGAGGTTAAGGCTCTTTCCCTAACAGTGTGATATGGAAGGTCTGTGAACCGCGCAAGAAAAAGTGGTTTTCGGGAAAGGAGCCCTAAACTCAAATATTGTACTAGTTGGGTTTAGATGGGAAAAGGTTCATTTTTATCATATCACCTAAAATCCAAGAATCCTCAGTAGGTTGCATGTGGGTGTGTGTGTGCACGTTGTATGTACGTGTGTGCACGTTGTATATGTGTATGTAGGTGTGTGTGTGCGCATATGTATGAATGAATAACGAATCTTGGGAAACCTTAGGCTAACCTACTCTTACCAAAAGCTCAGGCAAGTCCCACAATAAATCATTAATATCTGAGTCTGGGGAAGAGAGCAGATAATTGGAATGGAGATATTTTTGAGATATGTACTTATCTAAATAGTACATATATGTAACTTGCAAGTGAAATGTTGGAGTTTTTTTGCCGTTAGTGAGAAGTGGTGGTGAAATGCTGGTGTGAGCTAATTATTAACTCAACCACATTTACACACACTTGCCCTGCGGCAAGTCGTGATTGTTCACTAGAGACGGCATGGACCCTTAATGCACAGTGGCCTTTGCGATGACCGAGTGAAGCAGGGGACATGTGGGAGCGCGTGGGTATACCAGGTGACCCTGGTGGGAGTGCACTCTGATGGCTTGTTTTGAAGATAACTTTGTTCATTGGGGATGGCCATGTAATGTGTCATCCCAACTGGGACACAGTGGAGGGTGAAAGGGGCCCCCACTTGTGTTCCAGGGGCAGGGGTGCAGGTGGGCAGACCTGGAGGCGTCCCACACCTTAGGTGGGGGTCTCGCCGGTGTGTGCAGACACGCAGGCGCTGACCCGTGCCCACGCTGCTGCCCTCACGCTCTGGAAAGCTGACTGGCCTGGGAGCCGGCAGGGACTTGTCAGCGCTTCCTGCCTTTCTCCCCCAGAAGCCCTGGGCACAGAGGCAGAGTGTTTCTACGTTACCTCTGACCACCCTGGGGCAGCGGGGAGGGCCACTGCTGGCACCTCTGGGTCTTGTGGGCAGTGGGGCAGCTGCCTTGTGACTGTGAGTGTGGACGGCGTGGGGCCGCCACGCTAAGGGTCGTCTGCTTGCTTTGCAGGACCAGTGGTTTTGGCGAGTGAGGAACAACAGGGTGATGGAGGGGTACCCCATGCAGATTGCCTACTTCTGGCGGGGTCTGCCGCCCAGCGTCGACGCCGTGTACGAGAACAGCGACGGGAACTTCGTCTTCTTTAAAGGTAAGGCAGGCTGGGCTTGCTGCTGTGTCTGGGCCACTGTGTCCCGCAGATGAGCCGGGAGAGCCTGGGTGCGAGGAACCGCATGTGTTGACCAGAATCATACATGAAGTAGAATCAGAATGAACTAACCAAACTGATTCTCTAATTTATGTTTTCTCATGTGGCATCTCGTATATAAGCCAAATTTAGGAGGCACTGTGGTTTCATAGAATTCTTAGATTTCTCTTAACAGCACCCCAAAACATGGAATAAATGAATGATTTGAAAGCCATTTTTCCATTAACTAAGGGGTTTGGGGTTCTTTAGAGTATTTGGAGTTTCTTGCTGCTTTATGTGCTGAAACCTCTTTGATTTGTCTCAGACTTTATTTGCTTTACCCAGTTTCTGTTCCATGGTTTAAACTAGGAAATTGCTCAAAAGGGCAGTAGAGCTTACGGGTAGAAGTGTCACCTGGGTCGCGTCACCCAGCGGAGTCTATTAAGTTTGCTATGATTTATCTGAGCGCCAGGTTTACCTGCACAGACGCTCGCTGCCTGACATGCAGGTGAGGTTCCCGGGGAAAGTGAGCTCAGGTGACAAGCACCCTGTCGCCCAAACGCGCTCATGTTCAGAACAGCGAACCTGAGGTCTGTGGGGGCGACATGGGTGGGAGGACAGTGGGGCCGTGAGCTGACCCAGGAGCTGAGGTCTGTGGGGGCGACATGGGTGGGAGGACGGTGGGGCCGTGAGCTGACCCAGGAGCACTGGGGTCCAGAGTGGAGGGGATCGAACGTGTTGCCCAGAAACCAAAGGACCGATAAGGAGCTTCCACGGGATGGATGCTGGGGGAAGGATTGGGGGGCTTAACCGGGAGAAACAAGAAACAAAAAAGTGTTATCCTCAGGATCAGAGTAGAAGAGTTTATAGTGATGATGATATATCCTTCTTTGCTGTTCTGTTTTCACTTTTAAAGATGTAAAAGCCCTTTTAGATTGTGGGCTGCACAAAACCAGGCCAGCCCAGTGTGCTGAGCTGTTTGAAGTGATGCCTGGAACGCAGGGATGACAGGATAAGCGAGGAGTAAACTCACGTGCTGGTCGGAGTCCCTGGTCCCGGCCACACTGGCTGTTGCCACAATGAGTCAAGCTCTTCCTTGGTCACACTTTCCTCTGGCCTTCGTTGTCGGCCCTCGTCTTTCTCTTCTCTCTCTTCATAGAGAACTTCCTTTCTGTCTGTCTCACATCCTAGTATACACTACTCAGTACTACTGTACTTAACTAGCTACGTCTCCTAGTCCCCTATCTAAGTAGCGTCCGAGCTGGGTCATGCCTCATCCAGCCATATGCTTCCTAACGGTACCTCGCCTTGGCTTGCTTCATTGTGCATGAGGACTCGAGAGCGTGGATTTAAATATAAGTGACCATTTACTTATAAAGTATCAATGTGGCTTAGAAAAGTAAAAGTAAGCATGCGATGTTATAATCAAACTTTTATAAATACCTTAAGAAGAGTAGGAAGCCACTAGACACAATGAAGACTTCATATTTTGGTATAGTTTATGACTTTGTTGAACTTTGGTCAAAGTGTGTGTGTGTGTGTGTGTGTGTGTGTGTGCGCGCGCACGCGCGCGCCATATGGAGTGGAAGTTGTCAGTACGTAAATTATAGAAACGTGAAAACACAAGCACTTGTCCTCTGTGATGTGATGAGCTCTGTGTTCTTAGGATCTTACTGCTTTGGGGGGCGTCAAAGTCCAATGTGTTTATAGGTGAAGGGCGTCCTCCGCCTTCTGAGGTGTAATGATAGAGCTAAGACTGATCCTCCCACCCTAAACTACCAAAAACTAGGCAAAGCATCTAAAACTATGGTTTTCACGACACTGCATGTGAAGAAAGAACGGGCAGTGAAGCCCCCAGTCAGGACACAGAGAAGGGAGCCCAGCAATCGCCCCCGTTTCCTGTCCGGAGAGCGTCCCCAGGCTGCGCCACAGGCCTGGAGGGTCCAGGAGCTCAGGAGACTCCCGGCTGAGAAGGCAGAGCTGGGTGTCGGGAGACGAGCAAGGCGGCTAGATGAAGATGCAGCCGAGAGCTGCACAGGGTGGGGACCCAGAGACCAGCAGAGGGACCCCCGCAAGTGTGGGAGAGTCCTGGCCAGCACATGCATGTAAGGGACGGCTGCTGTCTGGGAGAGCGGCAGTCGGTAGCATTAAAGGGACAGCAGGTGACACACCTGTTCCCAGCAGCCACCTGTCCGTGGGCATCGGCTAGGACACCAAGCTGGTCTCCCTCGACAGTGGGAGTGATTACCCCAAAAGGGGCTTTGTTCAGTCCCACCTAACAAATCTCAGCAGATGTGAAGCAACTTGTTTTCAAGTAACAGTCCTGGAGCAAAGCTCAGGAATATTTTCAGGGTACAAAAATAGTCACCCAATGAGGTAAAATTCACAACATCTGACTGTCCCCATAAGATTTGGAACAGGACAAGGATGTGGTAGTTATTAACTCTGTTCAGCATTTTACTGGGGGTTTCTCTAGTGTAATAAGGCGAGAGATACAAAATAAAACTATTCACAAACAGGCTTATCTGTTAGAAAACCCGGTCCACTCAACCGATTATCTATTATTGATCAGTGAATTTTGCAAAGCTGCGGGATATGAGGCTATTATACAAAAATTAATTGTACGTCCATATATGCCTCGGTTCTGTGAAGGGCCTGAGGTTTTCCCGTCAGTAAGCTCACACGCCCGCCAGCCTCACCCTCATGGGTGTCGGCAGAAGACATGAGACCCCCTCATTTGAGGAGAGGAAACAAAAGCAGCAGCCAGGGCCTCGCCGCCTGTGCGCGTGCCCAGGTCTCAGAGGGCCCGGTGACACCTGGCCGTGGCGCATCGCAGGAGAGGGACTGCAGCCCGTTCCCCCCGTTTTGTTTTTGTTTACTTTCCATCCACGTTTTAACATTTTATTACATGTTTTCCTGTAAGAACCCTCAAATTTTTGTATAATGAAGCAAAGTATTAGGTAGATAAATACTTTAAAGATTTTTTTCTTTCAACCTCACATATGTAAATGTGTGTGTGTGTGTGTGTATATATATATATATATATATATATATATATATATATATATATATATATATATTTTTTTTTTTTAAAGATTTTATTGGGGAATTGGGAGAGGGAACAGTGCTGGGGAATAGGGGAAGGGGGAACAGACAAGTTGCTGTCCTTTTGTTCTTCAGTCTAGTTGTGGAGGATGTCGCTTCACTGGCCCATGTTGGTATTATCATTGCGCTCTTCCCGGGTGAGGCAGTCGCTCACCAGCCATTGGACGGGTGCTCACGGTGGCTCTTGGCAGCTCACACCGGCTGCTGGCCACGCACGGTAGCTCATGGCAACCCACGGCAGCCCCACTGCAGCCTACGCCGTCACCGGCGACTCACGGGAGCCCAGCTCCAGGTCGAGCTGTTGTTCACCATCTTAGCTGTAGAGGGCGCAGCGTGACTGGCCCCCATGTGGGATCCCAACGGGGGCCCTGCTGCTCAGAGCTGGCGTCCCAAGCCAACTCCTAACCAACGCTCCACTCGGATGGCCTTATATTTTCTTTTTTAAGAAGCTAGTCTGTAATGTCTCCCTTCACTGGCCTAGATGCTGCTAGGTGCTCAGTGCAAGCCGGCCTCCTGGTTTGGTATATGTGACTGTTACCTGGTACCTGGAAGTGTTTAGAGTTGTGTGATGTCCAAAGAGACCTTTCATCCCTCTGCTTAACATTTAGCAGCTAACATGGTCATTCTCCTTTATTTACGTTCAAAAAGTTGGTTTCTTTCATTAAGAGAGCTTCAGAAATGGAAACTGCATCACATCCAGGGATGTACTGTGCTTTTCTCCAGCAGCTGAATGCTCTACACACTCAGTGCAATCTCAGTATCCCCCCAGGAAATCGGCTGTCAGAACAGAGAAGTGTTTGTGAGCAGTCAAACCTGGTGTTCGTATTCTCAGTCCCTGGTCATGTTCAGGCTGAAACGTTATGAGATGATAATATCAGAGCTGTTCGCTGAAAATTGAGCTCTTATAATCTCCCTCAAGAGTTGGAAATAAATTTTAAAATGAAGCTTCCAGTGTTGTCAAAATCAGTCACAGTCAAAATCAAGTTGTCGAAAAGCTGTCTCAAAATTCATATTGATGCTATCACTTAATAGGTTTAAGCTGGACTTATCACCCTAGCTGACAGTTTCGTTTCAAGAGGCAAATACCATTTAAAGAATGGGAACTAAAATATCTGAGGCAGAAAAGACGAGGGTGATCAAGTTTGGGAATAAACAAGGCACACAAAAGATGTGTATCAAAAAAGAAGAGTTGACAACTAAAATAGGGGCCCTGGAGGATGGCAAAGAAATCAACTATTTGCTTCAGAAATAGTTTATGTGACTTACGTTATTACTTTATTTCAAATGCTCATAAACCAGTAGTTTCGTTATGCTCCTTACAGAGCATCACTCTTGAAAGTTTAGGGAGTGCTAATGAAGTTCATTGGAGCTAGAAACACATTGTCTCTTACACAGTACAATAGATATGTACTGTGAATGGATGAATGCAATGATTACTTATTGCCCTGTGGGAGGTGATGCCTCAGTTGATACCTAAAAAGTTACACTAGGTTAAGGAATTTACCTTCAGTGGCCTTGCAACACATGGAGATAGATTTGTCACGTTTACTGTGCTATCTTCTTGAATTTATTAATGTTTATATTGTATATTGACATGAAGTGATCATTGAAACCAAGGGGACAAACATTTAATATTTTAGAGTCTCCTTTGGTAATTTACCTCTACTTATTTATGACAATTTGAGAAGTCTGGTATGTTTTCATTTATACATCAAACTGCCATTTTTTCCCATCAGTATTTATTACTAGTGCATCTAAAAGTTTTCCCCATCTTCAAACGTGTATCCCATCCTTTCATTTGCTGTCAGTTTGAGTTTGCTGGGAAGCAGACACTGAGATGAAGTTATAATCCTGTGAAACACAGACAGGGAGGAAGCAGGACTGGCCTGGAGATCCTCAGGCTGTGCTGCGGACGTGGCAGGAGCCTGGCGAACCCACGGAGGCGTTCCGGGCAGAGAGCCGGCGGGGGCGTCTCATGTGGGGCAGATGTGGCGGGAGCCAGTCGGTGCCATGCTGGCTGCTGTCTGGGAGCTGCCTGACGAGAGCATGGCCTTGGCCCGGCCAAAGGCACGCAGCCCGTGCCTGGGCCCAGGGCATCCGCTAACTGCCCGTTCCTCCGTGAAGGGAGGTCTAAGCTGCGTACTCCGTGCTGCCACACGTGCATAAATATTCAAAATCTCTGTGTACTTGCTAATATTGTAGAACCTACAAAAATCAGTGCTGGTAACAAAAAGTCATGTGACTTCCAGAGTTGGACCTTTACTGAAATTTATTGAATAACTCACCTATAAGCAATATGGAAATTAAAACTTAATCCAAACAGTTGGCACTGGCATAGACCAGTGGCTTAATCACTGATCCTTGACATTATTTATGTTGTGGGTAGTAAGTGACCTGCTCAGTGAAATACTGTGTTCTTTCATAAGTGCCCCCTATCGGGTACCATGAGCCAGATGTGGTGCGGGGGTTCCTCGCTTCACCTGTGAGTGTGCCAGAACTCCAGATGAGGTGTCAGCATCTTATGTACAAATCAGAGAAGGCAGGCCCAGCTGACTGACCTGCCCAAGATCGCACAGCTGATCACCGATAGAGCTTCCTCCTCCCTGCTTCTCCCTGATGCCAAGGAATTCTAGAAAGAAAATGTGCTTCATGACACCCTTTTACCCTGAAGTGACCTCGGGGGACGCATCGACGCTGACCCGTGAGAGCCCCAGCAGGCAGCAGCCAGTGGCCAGTCCAGGGTGGGCTCTTTCCCAGGAACCTCTGCGGCCTCAGGGAACTCACCTTCTCACCTTTTCTGTGCATGTCACAGCGAGGCCTTCTGGTGTTCGGATCGTTGGTCTGTGTCATCTCCACCAGACCCTGTCATCGCGGGGTGACGCTGTGTAAATGCACAGGGGTGGCTGTGTTCCCAGGAAGTTCTGTTTATGGGGACAGCAGCTGGCAGCCCCACGTCACTGGCCACTGTGATGGGGCAGACAGAATATGAACGTGTGAGCAGAGCGCTGTGGATTCTGAGGAAACAGCTGTAAGTAGGTTTCTAAGCCAGTGAGTGAGGGCGCCTGAGGATGCAGTGAAGAAGGCCTGAGCCGAGTGCAGCAGATCTGTCCCTACACAATCCCCGTGGTAACTGGAGTGAGTGCGTGAGGGAGGCGAGGACGCAGGCTGGTCGGGAAGCGGACCTCGGGCACTAGCTGAAAAGACCTGGCCGGGGCACAGGTGTGTCTGCCGCCGTGTGCTTCTGCCAGGCCTCACTGCAGCGCTTCCCACCCAGCATGGTGACAGGTGATGGCTCCGGCAGCGACAGTGACTCAGTCCAAGGTGCTGGGAAAGCCAGTGTGAGTCAGCCTCTAGGGAGGCGCTGTCCTCTTGGTAAACGTTTAAAGAGTCCTCACACCCTTTTCCTTGCAGGAATAAGCATTAGCTTAAGAATTCTTAATGGGGCTACCAGCTTAATGTCTGTCTGCTCTGCTGGTCCCTCAGTGCAGGATAGCTGGGAGCCTGGGCGTGTCCGTCCATCATCGTGTCCACAGACACTGGCCGTCACAGGCTCTCAGGGGACAGACAGTGAAAGGGTGGAGGAGGGGTGGCTCTGCCTGCGGAATTAGGGAGTAGATGGTCCCCAGCACTCTCCTCAGCCCCAGGCGTTCTGACAGGTTGTCCTTTTTACTGATACAGCTTCTAGTCTTTAACAGACCTGTTGACATTTTCCTCAGCGTTTTGCCAAGTACAGTGTCAGTCAGATGGGCTTTTCCACTTGCTCCACAGTGTGTCAGCCTCCTATGGGATCCAGTCAGCGCCTGCCTTCTGCCAAAGAGGCAGCGTTTTCCCTGAGAACCAGACCGTCTGGTGGTAAGGCAGTGGAAACTCCACCCCTGCAATGTTAAGAAAAGAAAGAGTTGAACGGGAAACTCACGTACTCGGAATCTAAAAAATAGGAACAAAGTCGCTTTAACTTTGTAAGTGAAAATCTCACCTTATCAAGATACAAAAGGAATTATGTAATTGTGTTTCCTGAGTCGATCCTTGAGAATTAAGTGTATAATTCGTAATCATTGTTATTTTCCTGAATTCTATGCCGCAAATACTCAGCAGGCACGAGGTTGTTTCTTTCTCATTTTATGTGTGCAATTAACTGCTGGGGTCTCATCGTGCACCTTACAGCAAATGTTTGCTGATGAATTTTCTGTTTTGTTTTGCTTCTTTAAAAGGAATATAAGTCCATTTTTAAAAATCCCCTGGAGTTTGCTCCTGACAGAAAAAAACATAAAAAAACCCCAAAAACCAACAACAAAAAACGCAAATTGAGGTCTTCTGTAACTAAAGGCTGATTTCCCTTGTTCTTGATGGAAAGCACTTTATCAACAGCATGGGAAAGTATTTCCAAAATGCAGTAAAGAGGAAGCTTCTCTATAATAACACAAATGTCCTGGAAGAGCTGTCACCTTTCTTCTCTCATCCATTGTCCTCTCCTGAGACACCAGGACAGGTGTAAGCTAAGCTTCCGTGAGCAGCTCTCACACTGCAGGCACCGGGCACCCCGGGGCACTGTCGGGGGAGAGGGGATTGCAAACAGGTGCAGCCGGCGTGGAAGACAGTGTGGAGGGTCCCACAATATTAGAAGTAGGACTGCCACGGGACCCAGCCATTCCACTTCTGGGTATTTATCTGAAGGAGATGAAAACACTATTTTGAAAAGACGTGCGCCCCCATGTTCATTGCAGCATTATTTACAACAGCCAAGATATGGAAGCAACCTAGGCGTCCACAATCCACAGATGGATAAAAACAAAGGTGTGGTGCACATATGCAATGGCATATTACGCAGCCATAAAAAGAATGAAATCTCACCATTTGTAGCAACCTGGATGGACCTAGAGGGCATTATGCTCAGTGAAATGTCAGAGAAAGACAAATATCATGTGATCTCACGTATATGTGCAGCCTAACAAACAAAAGTATTGGATAAAGAGAACAGATTGGTGGGGATTTGGGGGGAAAATGGGAAAAATGAGAGCAGAGGGTCAAGGAGTACAAAGTTCCAGTTATAAAATAAGTAATTCCTGGGGATACACTGTACAGCATGGCGACTACAGGTAATAGTACTGTATTGTATGTTGGAAAGTTGCTGAGAGAGTAAATATGAAAAGTTTTCATCACAAGAACACCAATTTGTAACTTTGTAACGTGACAGATGTTAACTGGCTGAACCGTGGTCATTTCCATTCATGCCCTACACCTGGAACTAATAGAATGTTAAATGTCAATTATATCTCAATTAAGAAAATAGATATGGGTGGAGAATTTTCTCTGGAAGGCACTGGTGGCTCCAGGACAGAAGGTCCCAGCACACTAGGGATTAACGCAGGCCTCAGGGACATGCGGAGAGGTGGTCCCCACGGAGCGGTGGGCGTGGTCTGCCAGGGGGCAGGGCAGAGGATTGTGTTGTCTATAGGTGATTTTACAACATTAAAATTTACTACAGTTTACCTTCTTTCTAGTATTCTCCATGCTTGGGCAATTTTGAGCAAAGGTAGACCTAAAATTCTCCTCTCAGTAACCCCCTTAAAAAGCAGGACCCAGTAACAGCTGGAAGAGGAGGGTGACTCCACTGGTAAGACTGCAGGGGCATATGGGGTTTTTCCAATAAAATGAAAGCGGCGGCCCAGAGGAAGTGCCTAACAGAGCAGAGGCTATAACCAGCAAAGGCATCACATGGCGGCCGGGGTGCGCAGATCCCGGGCCCCTGCATCCCAGCGGAACAATCCAGGGGCCTGGGTTCAGAACCGTTGCCTTGAGGCAAGTTGTAGATGTTTCCCTTTCTTAATTAACTCACAAATTCTGATTACATTACAAAACGTAGTTATTCATTGTATTCACGTTTGAAAATAGCACTGATGTTTCCAAAATAATGTCCATATTCCTGTCGCGACTGCTGCTAAGTTATTTTGTGCATTTCATGCCAAATCATTGTAAACGCATCAGTAGTAGATATACTCTCAGATCTGACATTAAATTGCTGTATTCTGCATTTGGACTTCCTCCATACAGGGAACAAGTACTGGGTATTCAAGGACACGACCCTGCAGCCGGGGTACCCTCATGACCTGATCACCCTGGGCAGCGGAATCCCCCCGCATGGCATCGACTCGGCCATCTGGTGGGAGGACGTGGGGAAAACCTATTTCTTCAAGGGCGACAGGTCAGTACACCTTCCCGTGAGCAGCACTTCACTGCTGTTTAGACACGGTGTCACTCGTCTGTGGCAGACATGGACGGTTGATGAAAGAGTTGTGTGGGTATCAGTGCAAGAGTTATTGGAATAGTACAGAATGCTCAAGGTAAAGCTTCCTCTAATTTACTCAAATAATGTGACTTTCTTATGGATGTAAGTAGCTGGCGTAGCTGTCTCTTCTCCCTAACCTTACCTGCCTTCACGCTGTGTAGGCCCTGCCTGGATGTGCATCCTCCCAATGCGTCTTCCTGTAGTTTTACTGATTTTATTTTAGAAGTACGTTTCAGCCAAGGCTTTTTTTTTGCTTTACTTTGCACCCAGTTAATTGTAAGCACTTTCAAGTAATTTCAGTTTGGTCACAAGTTGTGCTTACTTAGGTAGCAGCGAGAGGCGTTAGGGGCCACCCAGACTCTGACCGGGCTCAGGACGAGCAGTGTGATGCAGCCTCCCTGCTCCGCCCGTCTCTCTCCTTTTCTTTCCTTCTCGGACGTCACTAACATGGTTTGTCAAGTAAGTGAATTGTTAGCCGTGCAACTTACAGTAGCTGCCACATACACACGGGTCCAGCCCTGACCACTTTTGACATATATTATGTGTAAAACAGAAGTTGAAGGCTATATATTTTATTTAATATTAGCTTAAAAAGTAATAAAGATGAAAAATCAAATTTTAATGACATTATTACTAGCTGGGTCAAAATGTGACACTCATAAGTAACCTGTTGGTATGCAGGGCTTAAGTGTGCCATTTTACAAGTAAATTTAAAGTGTACATACAAATGTGCATGTGAGCGATAAGCTGTCATGTCTAATCACCTAGCATTGAGTCTCCCTTAAAACCTCAGCTTAACATAAACCTATAAAATGTCTGCAGCTGTAGGAGAAAAGGAAGGACATAAACCTTGTTTATTTTGCAATTTGCAATTCTGATTGCCAATGATTTGAAACACTTTTTGTCTTTGGACAAAAAGATCCTATAATTTGCCTCCATAGATAAGAACATACTTTTAAATGTATTCGGTTACTTTCTATGCATTATTAGATTTACATACATGTCTACAGCAGTATGTTCAGATTTTAACTCACTGTCATGAAGCTAAGATTTAGCTAAATCTTCCTTACCAAATCACAAAACAAAAAAGGTCCATCAAAGGAAACTTTTATTAAAGTAAAGTACACTTAGCGCCACAACAAGTGTATGCCTCTCAGGAGACGTAAGTGTGGCAGAGTAGGGATGGACAGTGAAGACGCTGACCGCATCAGACCCCTGAGGGTGGGCAGACTTCTAACAGCCTTTAAAATAACAGCCCTGCAGGCTGTGAGAGCCCAGTTCCTCCGCTGGTTGTAACTGCTTGAATATAACTTCAGAACTAGGGTCCGTGGAGGCGTGTAGGGTCTTTAGGGGTGTTTTTTTTTTTTGGCAGAAAGTGGGGGCAACAGAAGGCTGAGAGGAGGCCCTGGAGAAGTTAACTCCCCAGGGCCGACACAGACGCTTCGCTTTCCCGCAGCACTATTAATGAGGGTTCCACAGATGATGATAAAACTGCCATTTTGTTATGCATGCAGGTATGACTTTTCAGAATGTTTCCATTCTAAAATTTTAGCACTTACTGAAAAAATCACGTTTAGAGCTTAAACTGGACTCCCTCAAATCAGGGTCGTCAGTGAAGACTAGATACCAAACTTAAAGACTTTAGTAAATGGAAAGGAGTTTAATGCATCCATTTCCTACTTGAGAAGCTGCATGCATCAACAAAACATGTGGAAGCAGTACTTTGAATTTAAGTCCTGTTTAAATAAGTGCTGTTATAGGTTTTAGAAACATAGTGTGTGATCTTAGATGTTATGAGCTATGGATGTTTTATAAACAGATTACATAATTCTATAAGTCACAGTGCTTATCAGTACATTCTTTCTACATTCACAGTAGGTAGAGAAGACAGAAGCTGTAGCTCAGACATAGAAATGACAACAGGTTGTCACTTCCATACAAGAAACAAGGGAGTCCTTCTTCCTTAAAGACATTGCCTATTTGTCTATTTAGAATACTTAACAGTTTTTTGAGAGAAAACATACTGAAATGTATTTGCCTTGACTTATTTCTCCCACTGGCCTCCCTCTGTTATAAAAAAACCGCGGGAGGCCCAGGTGAGTGTCCCTGACAAGCTGCAGGCAGAGGCCCTTGGAGACCCCCGAGTGTGATGACAGCTGAAGAAGATGGTTCCATGGCTCTGTACACAGACATGCAAACTCACGTGACACTTCTAGTTTCACCATGTCACTCGGTCCCTCAGGCTCCCACTCACCCTTTTCTTCTTGGGCTGTCATTTGAAACTTGGATATTCTCTGATCCTCATAGCATTTAGCTGTAAAATGCTGTTTCTGAATCATCTCTCGAATCTTCTCACCATACTTCATTCTAAGCTAACCTTTGAGAAAGTTAAGCTGTTTTCAAAGAAAGAAGACAAAACATATATCCAGTTTGGTTTTATTACTATTATTACCATCAGTAGTCAAACAGGAAAATATATTTCTTTCTTCCAGATTGAGTAGTGTGTTTACTACTCAAAAAATTATTTAACAGTATATTTTCAATTCTGTTGCATTTTTAAGACTGTTTCTGAGGAGTGAAAGTTTGCATGATTATCTGGGTTTGAAAAAAAGGAACAGACCAGTGTTTTCTGTGGTAACTTAACAGAGGCAGGTAGGCGTGACTCTGAGTGAAAAATGAGACAGAGTATCATGAGGAAATGCTGGATCGCGTCAGTAACCCTTGGAGTGTTCAGGTTGAGTTCAGTACCCAGCAACATCCCACTAACGCATTCCGTTCCAGCATTTTCTATGCCATTTTGTCCTTCTTACAGAAGGACTTTAAGAAAACGTTGTATAGCATTACATGGACAACTTTTCTTATGGATGTGACTCATGGTCTAGTCTAAAAAATGATGATTAAATCTCATTTCTAATAATTATTTTGAAGCATTGATTTGCAATGCTTCTCTCAGAGAGTCAGCAATTGAACGTTGTAACTGTACAGTAGAGATCACTGTTGTGTCAGAAGAAAAACTCTGGGGTATTATCATAGCCTTGATCATTTGTCGACACTCTCTGAACAAAATCCCCCAATTTTTTCCATTGTAACAGCTACACTTTAAAACTCCAGATGGTTTATTTATACAGTATTTCATCTGAATATGTTAATATACTTCTCAGTGAATCCAGAAGTTCAGTTTTCAGGGAGGAAAAAAAATCAGTGGAATGAGCTTTCTTGTTCATGTTGAAATATGGTCAGATATGTTGGAAATTAAAATGCACACCTGTATTTCTGAATGGGCTCCAACACCTTCCATCAGGCAGGTCTGGGCACAGAGGACGCGGGTCCCATTTGGGTTGACTGGACACATAGTAGCGCAGCTGACACACGGCAGATAACCTGGGTGCACACGCCTGTGTCGAGGTTTTCACACTGTGACATGCTCCCAAATGACAGCATTGCATTATCTGCTAGCAGACAGGGAGGCACGCTTTCATTCTGACAAATTCAACCCAGAATTATGTTCCTACGAGAGAGTTCACATCACAGTAATTCATTCTTGAAACGTGACCTCCATGAATCTTATGTGCCCGGCGTGTAACATAGGTGCTCGGCGTGTAACATAGGTGCTCAGACAAGTTTGGTGGGAAGTGGGTCAATGTGTCCTAGAACAAGGGAGGCTAGGGGGGGTCATAGTCCCACGCGACTTTGAGGGATCAAGCGCAGGCGCCGAGACAGAATGGCAGGTGGGCCCCACAGGAAACCTTTGTCAGGAGAAACGCGGCAAGACCGCGGGGCTGCTCCAAGTCCGAGAACGCTAGTTCTTTCCAACTCGGCAGCATCCAAAGGGAGGCAATGTGACTGTCACTGTCTCCGAATAGTAAGGAGCCCAGTGCTTTGGTGACTGAATGAGTGACCGTAGATAAAATGACGGATGCACACAAGTCGACCTCGCAGCTCAAACGCCATGTAGCCTGTAGGTATTGTCACCATTTCTTGGAGGACACACCTGGTTTCTCAGGACGCAGTGATCTTTCTTATATCACGTGTGGGTGTGATCCCATTGTCCCTGACAGTCTAAATTATTCTGAACTTCTAGGTCAGCAAAACTTACATCCCATTGTCCCAAGTTACAGGTCATGTCCCCTAAAAGTGCTATTTATTGTAAGATCTATGACTATCTAATCTGTCACTGAGGGTACCACCCTGCTCAGTAAACCTTGACATAGTATGGACGGTGAGGTGCATGCCGATGTTTAGACACAAAACATGAGAAAATGCTTGGCTCTTGAACACGTGGGTGGCCTAAGTGATCCTAAGTGGAGACGCTCAGTTTGCTCCTGGACCTCGCACAATTCCCTGAAGCTGGCGCAAAGGCCGCCCCGCGGAGGGTGGGAGTTGGAGGCAGGCTCCCGAGGGCTCTGCCTGTTTTTCTGTCTGCCCCCGAGGACCAGTCAGGAAGTACCCTACCGCCCCCACTCACGCTGTCACCTCACCAGCAGCTTCACCCTGAAGCTTAGCAGCATCTGACCTTCACATTCCTGAAACCAAACTCCCGTTCCCCAGGGCACCCAGGCTGGCCTCCCCCATGACCTTCCCTGCTGAGGGCTGTTCTTACCGAGGTCCAGGCCCTGCATTCTGGCGTTAAAGCCCCTTAGTTCTCTGATATCCTGCGTCCCATCCACTGGGAAGCCCTGTGGGTTTTCCCTTCACAATAGTGTCTCCAGCCCTTGCGTTACCATCGGCCCACCGCCCCCACTGTGGCCCACGGACTCTCAGTGACACGCTAACTGGACAGCAGGGCCGTGTTCCTTGCAAAGCAAGGCACCTCCTGAAGCCCCTGTGGCCCGGTCCGCGCTGGCCTCCCATCTCTCGAGAGGGAGCCTGAAGGTCTGCCTGGTCCCCGCTCTGACCTCGGCCCTTTGCGCCCTCAGCTCTGGTCACCCGAGCCGCACCGAGGGTGCTCTCGCGTGTGCCCGCGGAGGACCCTTTGATGGGAGCAGCCCTGCCTGGAATGTTCCTTCCCCGAACGACACGGGTCGCTCCCCCTCCTGTCTGCTGCCTGCTCAGAGGCCAGCTTCTCGGACAGCCCTGTGTGTGTGCGAGCTCACCACGGCTGACCCACGTTCCCGGTCGCTGTGTCTGCTCTGCTGTCGTCCTGGCGCTGACGGCCACCTCGCGTGGGGTGTGCTTACTGATAAGTGGGCTCTTTGGCCTGTGACCCCCACGTACCCCAAAACAGAAGCCTGAGGAGAGCCGGCCGGGCACATCTGGTCTGCTCGAGGCTGTATGTCCGGCACCTACAGTAACGCCAGAACCTTGGCAGGCTCTCAGTTCGTGTTGCATGAAATGGATGAACGAGGATGCTGTGTAGGAGGATTTCAGAAAGTGTTGTGCTGCCTAAGTAAGATTTTTAAAAAATGAAAACCTCTCCTTTGTACAGAGGTCGATGCTACCCTTTAGGAGTATAAATATGCTTAGCTTGTATAATATAGTTAGGTAGCATTTCTTATTAATTTTGGAAAACCGAGCAAATATACAGAAACATGCTTATTTTTAACATATGCAGGAAAGGAAACAGAGCAGGTGCTTTGTGTCGCCACCTTCCCGGTGGCGCAGGCGGGGGCTTCCTAGCGGGGGTCACTGCCTCCTCTCAGCGTGTGTGTTGTTGTTGTTGTTATCTTTTTTAGGTATTGGAGATACAGTGAGGAAATGAAAACCATGGACCCTGGGTACCCCAAACCCATCACCGTCTGGAAAGGCGTCCCCGACGCGCCCCAGGGAGCCTTTGTGCACAAGGAGAACGGTACGCGCATGCGCGCCGCGCACTGCATGCCTCACCGCTGCCGCCCGGCGGACGAGTCAGTCGTCAGCGCGCCGCACTGCGACTGCGCGTTGCCGCCTCTGCCGGCGTCCGTCCTACACTTAGGGGTGCTCTTCGCTCCAGATGGTTTTTAACCTCAAACTATCTTAGTTTATAAGAAAAAAATAAAGGTAGCTTTTTAAAGGGAGCATGTGATACCATTGAAGTAACTTCACCTAATTTTCTATTGAAATTCATGTAATAAAGATGGTACTAACACGTACACCGCCCAGGACCTGGTCACAGGGAAGTCGCAGGTGTCGCCGAAGCCCAGAGCCAGCTGGTGGGGGTTATGTCATGGGATACGGCTTCCCACGCGTGTCGGTGCACAGGGAGGTCCCGGCTCCACGGCCCGGCTGCTGGGGCCCCGCGGGGACGCTGCCGGAGGCGAGACCGGCCTGCCGCGGGCTCACCGCACGTCTGAGCGCTTTCCTCCTCATTCGGGGATTAATCAGTAAACAGGACTAAGCCACAGTAACTAATTCAAAATAAAATCGAAGAACAGCGTCTCAGGACACAGGAAGGGAAAGAGAGACCATTCTGAAACACGGAGAGAAAGCACCCCCCTCAAATGGCGCATAATAGGAACCAGGAGAAAAGAATGTACCCCACAGGGTCCTGCTAGCATGAAAAATCTCTAACATCAACAAGGACAAAATAAACATCACTTACAAGAACCACGCTATCTTCCACGTCAAGGGTGCATTTTGTCAGGAGAGACGGTTTCCTTATATTCAGAATTGCTTTCTTGTCACACAGCGAAGAATAAGTCTGTAAGATAGTAACACAGAAGGGAAGCATGCTGAGAAAAGCAGTGCTCACAGGGACACGCAGCACAGACGAGCCTCAGCACCCCGGCTCTGGACCCCCCCCCCTCCTCCTTTCTTATCCCTCAGCCTGCGCTCACCTTCTCTCCCTGGGGGGACCCCACCCCGGAATCTCAGATTACAAGTCCATTATCCCCTCCTCTGTCAACTTGCCCAAGGCAGTCACGGCTTAACCACTTTGTCCCTGCTGTCATTCTAAAATGTCCCTCCCTGAAGTTGAGGTCTCCTGTTTGTCCAAAACCCTATTCAGACCTCATGCTTGTGGCTTCCTACCTTACACTCAGATTTTAGTTGCTTCCCCGGTATTTGCATGAAGGAGAGCAAGCTCACAGGAGTAAGCAGACACCTGTATAGTTCTATTTACATTCAAAGTCACTCCCTGTACGGCTAAGTGGCAGTTGGCCATCATAAAGTCTGCTGACGGGGCCCTGAAATGCCCGTCTGCTTGCCTGCCCTGCCACTGATGTAGGACTTTGTTCCATGGCGTCCTCTCCTAGTGGTAATAATAATTTTTTAAAAGTCCACAAGCTTAAAATCCAGCTGTAGATTTCTGAAGGATGTATTTCATGTTAAGGGGAAGGGGCCTTCCTGTGTCACCTGCTGGCACTAATTGTGCCACCTTGACCATGGACTAGGCATGCTCGGTGCCATTTACCGTGCCTGCTCATTATCAGTTGGTACATAAATTCACTCATTTAATGTCCAATACAAATACCTCTTTACATCATTATGATTTATAAGCCAGTATCAGCCAGTTTTAAGAAACCTACTCCTGAAAGTGGCAGTGAGAAGATTGTCCCTAAGATTGGAGACTCCAGCCTCCCTGAATGTGCTCTAATACAGGGTCTCCAAAGTGAAAGTCAGCACTGTTCTCTACATTGTGTCACCAAGGTACCTGTCAGGCTCCGTGCTTCCTTCTGTCACAGTGGACAAGCCTGGCTTTCACCTGTAACCATCATCATTCAACATGTTCTTATTTCCCTTTTGCCTCTTAGCACCCGAAAATAGCTATAGCAACGCACATGACACTTGACTCATGCAGAACAGAGAGGAGGGACTTGTTCCCGGCACTCCCTCACCTGACAGTGTCTGAGACAAAGGCACGAGCTTGTATTTGTACTAAAATACAAGTGGTAATGAATTTGCATGGCCCACCTTCAAATCATCCTGCCCTTACCTGCAGTCAAGCCCCACCTCCTAGGCCAGCGGTTCTCCACCTTTCACAGGGGTCGCCTGAGACCATCGGAAAACATATTTTCAATGGTCTTAGGAACCGAGACACTGCTCCTCTATCCGTCTCCAGGCCCACGTGCAGATACGCCCACATAAGAGTACCCGGCGACCCCTGGGAAAGGGTCGTTCGACCCCCAAAGGGGTTGCGACCCACAGGTTGAGAACCGCTGTCCTAAGGCAGTCTCTATTCCCTCCTTAGAAAAATGCAATTTTACATGCAGCTGTCAGCACTGTTGCATTTTATCTTGCTGATTACAGCCTTGTGTAGCCTGTTATAGTAGATTTGACTCTTGATTCTGTTGACTTGTAGTAATTCTCCACCCCATGCTCACTCTCTGTTAAAATCTATAGGTGGGGTTCAAACACATATATTCAAAAGATTCAGTTTATTCATTCACATTTTTACTAAAAACCCTAATTAAGTTCTTACCAATAAGCATAAGAGCAGAAAACAGAGACGACACATGGGCGCTGCAGTTTAGGAAAGTCACCAGTAAGACTCTGTCAAATACAAGAGGACAAGTCACCAAATGATACAGCACACACAGCCTGACTGCTTTCTTCCTCAGAATTTCTCAAAAAACAATCATTTAGGTAAGAATTCATCTGAAGTAGCTACTCTTAGTTAGCATATCTACAAGATAACTTCTTAAAAGGGAAAAGAATATGAGTACAGAAACATTTTCTCAACCAACCGACATGTCATAAATGGCAAGAAAAGCAAACCTAAGTTATTGAATGAGATGATTTTCGTGGGACAGGTATCTACCACTCAGATTCCAGGCCACTCCTCAAATACCCTTATCGAACTCCTACTGCTCAGACATCTTACCTCTAACAAGTGTGCTCAGTAAACTAGAACCCTACTTCTGTGTCTGGAGTGTTACATGGAACGGGCCTGCCGAGCTGATCACTATGAAGACGGAAGCTTCTGACCTTCTCTAGGATGCCAGTAGCTTCACACTACTCAGCTTTGACTGGAAGCTAAGGAGGGGGGTACTCGCAGCTGCAGGCTTCCAGTTGATAAGTGCGTGCGCCTGACCTGCAGGGCTGTTGAACCCTAGATGAATGTCATTACTCAGTTTTGGTCACCCAGTGTCCTGTTGCATGGCAGGCCCTCCATGGGTCTCCCTCCAAGCTTGTTTAGTAATTACACTGGATTTCATTAGTGTGAGCTGATACCAGGTCCCTGCAGAAAAATTTGAACCCACACACACCTGTTTTCACTTGGCAAGTTGCTCTGATTGCAAAACCGACCTTCGAAATGAAAAGCAACAGCAGATTTTTATGGCATTGACACAGAGCGATTTCCAACACGAAGTGACCCGAAGGATGGTCTGTCCTAGCTGAGATTTCTTTGATGGCTGTCAGAGGGCTCCTTTATTTGTTTGAGGGGTAATATCAATCACAGCTTGTACTGTTGAACCGAGGAGTATTTGTTCAGACACGAGGTCTCTAAAGGAGCCAGTCTCGGAAGGTACAGGAGAGTTTAGGCTCGAGCACAAGAGCTGCTTTCCCGAGGCCTGAGCCTCAGCAGCTCTGCCTGAAAAGTACAGGAATTAACTCTACCCGACGGGGTGGCTGTGAGGGTTAGAAGACGGTCATTGACCAGTTTTTAACGCAGGGCCTCTGCCATAGTACGTGCTCAATAACAGGACAAAGAAAACCCTCACTGAGGATGAGTTAGAATAGGCATACGATTCAAAATGTGTAGCTCCCAAAACATAGTTTTTAAATAATTATGACATTAAAACATTTCAGCTTTGTTTCTTGAATTTTATCTTTAGAGTTAACTCCAAGGAGTGTAGTCACAAAGAAACTTGACATGAAGGGGTTATAGGCAGAAAGCAAAAGCTGATATACACCCAACCAAAACAAGAAAAATGTACAGACCACTGCTAAGAAAAGCACACAGATTAGTAGCTTAGTTGTCACAAGCCTGCAAAGTCTGCTATCTGAATCCATAAATGTTTGGAACATGAAGCATGTGTGTTGCCAGTTACTTGAGCCTCCCACATGCCACCTCCCCCACGGAACATGTTACTGGGAGGTATTACCGATAGAATTGTGCATTTACTTATACTCGTCCTTGTTAATTCTTTAGAAGGATTAATATCGGCTTTAGAAGTTCTATAAATGATAGCCAGGTGACATAATATAACATGAGCTAAGCAAACAGGAAGTTAAATGAAGAGGCAAGGAGAGGAGACCCTGGGCGTGACCCAAGCCCAAACGAGGCCAGGGCACGGAACACTCCAAACCCTGCCGACGTGCGGCTGCTGGCCGACGGAAAGCTCACCAGTTCCTGAGTTATGGTTTGTTGTGACTTCTTGTGCAGGCGACACAGGCAGACCTGATGTTTAGCAGGAGCAGGACCTTCCCGTAGGATGCTGACTGGCCCTCCCCGGGAGGTGTCTCCTTACTGGGAAGCCTCCTCGTGGTGTGTGGTCCTGGGGAAACGGTGCTGCGACCTGAGTGTGTCAGCATCTCAAACATGGGTGACGCTGTCACACTGGTGTGGGGCTCTGTGCCAGCGGTCCAGTAAGCGAGCGGGGGGAGGCGGGTCGGTGTGCACAGCCCCCTACAGAGAGTACATCTCTCAGCTGGGCCTCCCGAGGCGCCACAGGGCACAGCTCCTGGGCCACAGTGGCCAGACCCAGACCTGTCTGCACAGACGGCTGGGCTCAGAGGGGCATCTGCTCTCTGCACAATGGAGGGGCTCTCAAATACATTTTATGTAGCCTACTGAGTGAAACTTCTGTGCACGTGTGCTTCCCCAAATAAGCGGTTCCTGTGTGTGCTGTCCCCTCTGCCTCCAGGCTTCACGTACTTCTACAAGGGGAAGGACTACTGGAAATTCAACAACCAGATACTAAAGGTGGAGCCGGGATATCCCAGATCCATCCTCAAGGACTTCATGGGCTGTGACGGACCCACAGACAGGGACAAGGACGGACCCCGCCCGCCCGACGACGTGGACATCGTCATCAAGCTGGACAACACGGCCAGCACGGTGAAGGCCGTGGCAGTGGTCATCCCGTGCACGCTGGCCCTGTGCCTCCTGGTCCTGCTCTACACCGTGGTCCAGTTCAAGCGGAAAGGGACGCCACGGCACATACTGTACTGTAAGCGCTCGATGCAGGAGTGGGTGTGAGGGCCCAGCCTCTGTCCCAGAGTTGTGCTAACTTGAGGTTCAAGACGAGAGCCGTTATGCTGGTTCCTAGCTAGGAGCAGGCTGGCGGCGGCCACGCGGGGCTGCCGGTCCTGCACGTGAGTGGAAACGCAGCCGTGGGGAGGCTCCATGACGCACAGTACCTGCCGTCCTTCAGCCCCTTGTCGTCCTTCGTCATTCAGTTCTAGGCCTTTCCTCTGCACGCTCAATGCCCAGTACATTTTCAGGAGTAACTCGAGAAGAGGGAAAAAAAGAAGAAAAGATTCTTCTCAAAGGTTTCTAAGGCGATTTTCCTTCTGAAGTCTGAGCCCAATTCTGGGGGTGGGGGGGGGAGGGAAGCAAAATGGAAAACCCACGCATTTTTGCTTTAAAGCAAAGAAAAGTTAAAGAGGTGAAACAAAAACCCACCACTGAACTTTCAGGAAAGTGTGAAGACCCAAAACAGCTTTGTCTCCAAAGAAGAGAGCGCTCTGACTGCTCGGAGCGTCCCGTGCTTCCTGGTGTCAGGCGGGGTTCGGGGCGCATCGGGACGCTAGACTGTCGGACAGCCGTTTTCCAACGCAAGGGGCCAAAATCTCTGCAATATAGTAACAGCCTTAATGAGACATCCATTTTTCGTTTTCTACAGCTGGTCTCAGCCATGTCCTCCGTGTCCATAACATGTAGACTCAGAGCGGGATGCACATAGGACCTTCGGATCGTCCGCAAGTGTTTCCGCCCTTCTGCCACCTCGCCCGTGTCACTGTGGTGACCCCCCCCCCAAGCTGTTTTAGGCCATCGCCCCGGCCTTCCCTAGTCTGTCAGGAGTATTCGTTAGAGGGAGAAAGAAGCAGTATGTCCCCAAAGAGGTTTAAAGTGCCGGTTGTCTCAGATGGCGATGTGACACGAGTGACACATTGGGGTAACCCTTTGAGAACTATCAGACCAGCGTTCGGAGTCGCAGGGTGGTCAGTTTTGCTGTCCGGTGGATTGTAGGATTGGGCGGTGGGGACAACAGGCACAGCTTCAGGAAGGTCAGGTTTTTAAAACAGATATCCTATAACCCATGTAATTTTTAAGCGATTTACGGTACTACAGAAATGCATTTATGACAAACAGAGATGATGTTACTTGCCAAACAATTTCCTGGCAAATAAAAAGGTATTTTATTAAGTATCTTGTAAGAGTGAAATTTTATTTGAACAAATGCTGATAATGGCCTGTCATTTTTTTTTCTTTTGTTGGATGTATCGAATTTGTTTTAAAACCCATTGCATGAAAGCTCAGTGTGCCTTGGTCCATGCGGGGGCTGCGCCATCTGAAAGGTGCACGCAGAGAGGTGACGGCTGAGCCCCCATCCCCTGCTGCTCAGCTGCCATAGTTCTCAAAGGGTTGGCGTGGCTGCCGGGGTCGGCACCCATCTGACCACTGATGGAGCCTGGAGACCACCACGGCCTTTCTCTGTGGCTGTGACTTGTCCTAGCAGCAGTGCTGTCACTTTCACGTGGCCTGCAGAGCAGATTTGTGCCAGTGTGTTTTCCTAGAGAAAAGCCAGCACCTGACAGACCTCACTGTTGATTTTCAGGAGCGGCTGCTTGCAGGTGGAGGCTTCCGGCCACTGGGCCGTGACCCTGGTAGAACCGGCCCGGAGGAGCCCCAATAGCCAGACACTGGCTTTGTGGGAACGCCCGCGTTTGAGGGGCTTCGCTTTGGAAACAGCGAGCAGCTTGCCTTGAACTTGATTTCCGACCTGGTGACTGTCACTAGCAACAACTTACACGTTATCTTCTGTGACAGTCGTCCCTGGAGAGCCCTGCTCTGTGTGTCTGCCCTCTGACCTCTAACTTGCAAACTGGCACAAACAGAAGGACGCCCGGTGTGGCTTCTCCATTGGCGTGGGAACTGTTCTCTGAAATCCTGGTGAGTGGGCGCCGTTTGCCTCAAGTGGACAGAGTGGATGGCAGACGGACAGGTGGACACTCTGCTCTCAACATGCACCCCAAAAAGACATTCTGTAGGTAGAAGGGACTTTCCATTTTCCTTTAATATGATTTCAAGTCTGAATTCATCATTTTAGTACAAATATAAAACTGTAAGAAAAAAAAAATCCTTAAAATACTTGAATGACCAGTGTGGCTTTTATGTGAAGCAGGAATTTTATACTAGTGAGAGTTTCTTACTCATTTGCTAATAATACTCATTTCCAGATGATTTTTAAGGAGTGTAGGTATGCATTCTGACTTGGAAACGGATAGGCTGGCTGCCGTGAATTTATATTTATCCTCCATATAGCATGGAAATGAGAATGCCTTTCGGTTACATGTTATGACTGGGTTGGGGAAAACATTTTGGAATCACCGTGGCATGCGGCGAACCTTGCAGCTGTTATTTCTACAACCTGGACACGTACAATGTCAGGCTAAGAAAGGAGGAGTGGATTTGCAGCCAAACATTCTGCAGTGCTTAGCACGTCAGGGCGGGTTGGGGTACGTGTGTGAGGGCCGCCACATGGGGGGGCTGCTTGGCCTGCAGCTTCCCTCGTGGTCTCTTGTGGACGGTGCCGGGGCTGCAGCCGTCACCCCACCGGGTAGGGGACTGGGCACAGGCTCATGCACACAGAGCTGGCTGGGGAGGGTTTAATCCTTTTAGTACCTTGATGTCAAGGGGAAAAAAATGGCTGGAAATTTCATTTTGCTAAAGATTCAACTGAGGAACTGCGGCATTTTGGGACATGTGTGAATAATCACTGCGGAATTCCATCAACACTGAAAACTTACTTTCTTTAAAATGAGAAAGAAACCGCAGAAGCAGCAGTCATTTGCCTCTTTACTCACTTGTCACAATATCCTGATTCATCCTGAGCCTCAGTATCTAAGGGCTAGAAAATGATCGTGGCTTTCAGAGAAAGGGTTGTGCCCTTGTGCCTGAACCCTGCACATGTCAGGCTCCGCGTTGCGTCGTGTTTACCTCAGTGAGATGAGATTCGGGGGATAGGAAAAGGCACACGTGGCTTCTCTCTCCACTGGGGCGTTAAGCCGAGAGGTCGCGGGAAGAGGACCGTCACGTGTGACAGTCCCAGCGTTGGGGCCCCACGGGTGCCCTGCAAGCCGGGCTCTCGGATGAGGTGCTTCCTCCTCTTCCCCTGGGATCTGGGAAGCAGCTCAGCGCTGTGGATCCACAGGGGAGGGGACAAGGGCTGACTGGCCAGCACACAGGACAGGGACTCGGAAGCAGTGGGGACTGTCAGAGGCCAGCCCATGACGGGCCAGTCCAGCATCTCGGGAGACGCGCGTTGTCCAGCGGCTGTCAGCGTGCCGACACTGACACATGGGAAGTGCAGGCCCAAGCTCCCCCCACCGACAGGAAAACAGCAGGACCGCAAAACTAATTCTCCTTCCTTCCACGGTTTTTCTTTGCTTCGATAGAAACACTCGTGGAAGCGAGGTGGTGTTCCTTACATACACTGAGCTTATCATTTTAGCCATCATTCTGTGTGTGGTTAGCAGGACTGGGTGAAGCACTGGAGACGTGGTCAGCCTGCCGTCCATGGAGCAGACCGGCCACGCCAGCCCTTAGCACGGGAGCAGAATTTCGCTGTCACCCGTCTCAGGACACGGGTCTGCGGACGTGGGGTCAGGTGCTCCTCAGCTGCGAAGGGAGCAGATAAACTAGAGGACTCTGTGACAGCAGCAAGGATGACATCTGTTACAGGTCAGAGGGCAAGACTTTCCTGAACCAATGTGACAAATGACTGTTTATAAAAATAATGACTAAGTAACAAAGGGACCGACGGCCGGATTAGGCAGATGTTCCTTTCATGGCCGGACTGCGTGGTATTGTCTCCTGTTGCCACATGTTTTGTGTTCCACACACTGTACACCTACTTTCGTTCCCTTTCTCTGGCTGATTTAAAAGCGTGACACGGATGAGGACATTGCCCAGCTTCACCGTGGCGGGGGGGCACAGGCTGGGCCCCAGCGGGGGTGTCTTAACACTGACACCTCTGGTGGCTGCCGACACCCGCCCACCTTGGGGGCTCTTCCAGGGAAGAACAGTGTCCCTGCTGATGACACTCAGCGTGCTGTCTGGGATAGACAGTGACACGGGAGTGGTGACAAGAATCTCTGTTGTTTTTGGCTGACTTACTGCCACCACAGGCTCTAGCTCCCAGAACACTACGCATCTGTTGTTGGTTCCATGTCGCCTAGGAGAAACCACAGCCACATCAGAGAAGTTCTATCAGTTACATTTTAAAAATGAGAACTTCATAGATAGAGAAAGCAGCAGCCGGCATAGCGCCATCATAAACACGACAGGTACTTGTGATGTAGATCAGTATTGGAAATGGAGGGAGAGGAAAGGGGAGTGTTTTGAGTAGGAAGGTGCAGGCGGCACTCCGTAATGCTGCTGGACTACTTAGCGAGAGTAACAGCAATGCAGACAAAGGAGCAGGCTGTCCTGTCCGCTGAGATGGGCTGTGCACTGGACATAGTCAGCCAGCGGGCCTGAGGGGACGCTGCTGCCCGGCTCTGCCTTCCGGGCGATCGGGTCGGAGGTGGGTGTCGGCAACCCCAGCTGGGCAGATGTGTAGTGGCAGCTCTCCTGAGGAAGGCAGGTCCTAGGGGAGAATGTCCCTCCACCCTCAGAACACAGGACACGTGGCGTGGTAGCAGGGATGCTGCTTCGTGCCCCAGTGTCACTGACTGGTGACCTTTTCTTCCATGTAGCATGGAAACCACTTCATGCCTTCCTTTGCTTTAAGTCTGAAATGATTCTGAGCAATTTCAGGTCAGAGTAACAACATCCAGTTATAAATATCTCTTTCCACATTTTATACATGTGTCTCCTTTGAAATGGAAGCTTATAGTATATAAAGCGTAAGATCACAGGCTGATGTGACAAACTCACAGAAACTGGGTGAAAACCAGATGTGATATTGTAAAATTTCTGTCAATTTTCTGATTGAATACTCAAGTAGCAGCCTTTGGTTTCTAAACACGACTGTGAGCTGGTAACTAGATATGACCTGCAGCGTTTTTAGAACAAAGCTAATTCTTACACGCACTGAAGGCCTGAGACCCTGAGGTTGTCACACAGCCCCTCTGAGCTACGCACAGCGGATGCTCTAAGGAAAATGAGGGTGTAACCAGTAGCTCATGGTCGGTGCATAACAGGTATAAAAAGTTATGGATGGAAGACGCTGAGTTCTGAAGAGCCGACGCCTTTTCAGGGTAAAGAGCAGCGTGTTTGAGACTGTATCTTACACTAGGCGTAAGCGTCAGGCTTGACGCATGTGTTCGGGGCACACGGGCAGCCGATGGTAAACTAGAACAGCGTGTGACCCACGTAACGGCCACGTGTGTGCTCTGCTTCAGAGCTGGACTGACACAGCCGTAAGAAGGGAGAAGGAAGCCAGTGCAGTGGAAATACGGAGGCAGGGTCACTGTATCACGTTAGGCCACTCAGCTTCGGAGCAAGAGGTCATTAGCCCTTACAGAGCCGCAAGGACAGAACAGGGCCACGAATGAAATGATTAACTCCTTCACGTACGAAGATGCTCCGTGAGTGTTTTATCCTCTGAAAAAAGACTGCTCAAAATACAGACATTTCTGTAGCACTCAGTTCATAGCTACTAGATCCGGGCATAACCCTTTTTGACAGCCTCGCTCCTAATGGAGCTTTGGTGACGCGTGACCACGGGACGCTTTGCCTGGGCTGGGAGAGGGTGCTGCTTGCCCTGGCTATCTTTCTCATGAACGCGTGCTTCTTGCCAAGATGTGGATGAATGAGGCCGGGTATGAGCTGTGTCCTCAGTGTCACTAGGATACACGTGTGTTTTGCTCCCGTGATGCCAGTGTGAACGCATTTTCTCTGTCTCTCGGCAGGCGGGTCGTGAAGGTAAAATGCACTTCCCTTGAATAAATGACTCAATCTTTAAATCATGTCCTAGTTTTCGCTGCCACTGAAATAATAGTATCACGAAGGCCACATTATCGCCTGTCTCCTCACAGCTCTTTTTTCCTACTCTTGCCTGGATAAAACAAGGTTTTAGTTCTTCCTGTCACTTCTTTTGTACCTGACATGGAATCTGTTAGGCCTTTATAGGGTCCTCAGTGCAACGTATCACAATCTGAGTTACTCTGCTGCTTGTAGACGTGACATCCCCATGCACCCCCTGGCTTTGCTGCTCCTCCAGTTCTGACATGATGTTTGCTGTCTGTGTGTCACCTGAAAATACAGACGGCTGGCAGGAGCTTGGTGCTTGTGCTGTCGTGTGCAGTCTGTGCTCATGCAGGCCTTTCCACATCCACCTTCTCCTTTTTATACCGGTTTGGTTTCCCTTCCCTTTGTGAGGAGCAGAGTGGAGCACCATGGCACGTCCGACGTGGTTCCCTGGAAATGGCCTCCACCCTCATGCTGTACTCCTGTTGCACGTGCGGACGTAGCCTCCCCACTTCCACACACCCTCTATCCTCGCGTGGGGCTCTCCCTCTTTAGAGCTGTCCCCCTGAGGAAAGTGAAACGCTGTCGCCTTTGGGAAGCCAGCTACAGACGTTTGCTTTCGGAGAATGTGTCTTAAATAATTATACAAAATTAAATACCATAACATAGTGTTGTTTAAGGAACATTGTGAGTACACGAATGCCCAAAACCTCGATCCTTGGGTCTGTTTCTCTTTATGTGTAAATTACATAGATGGTAAAGAGAGGGCGGGGGGTGTGGGTGGCAGCTCTGTGCTGTGTGTCTGCATCGGCACATCTGTCACCTCTATTTTCAGGGGTTTGAGACTCACCCATTAACACTGGCTTTGGGCTAAAAGTCATGAAAGATTTTCTCTTAAGTATAAAATTTTAAATAAATATATCGTTTTTATATTATAGGAGGGAAATAAATGGAGTTTACTACTAGTTTACTACTCGCGCAAATATAACTTTGAATAAACTTAGTTTTTTGGCAACATAAAATCTAATTAGTCCAGAGTCTATGGATGGTTTTCTAAGAATCAATCACTGACACTGAGCAAACCATCTGCTCCATCAGTGTAGTGACCTGTCTTCGAGAGGTTTCCATACTGGCTTCCTGGCACTGACGTCATCCTGATTGCAGTGGTGGGTCAGCACGATGATGAATGCGGCCATGGCCACCAAACAAGGTCAATGCTACCCGAGATTTGGAAATACACAGATCACTAGAGAGATTCAGGGGGTAGGAGAACCCCATCGATTTAGTCAGATAAATGCTATATATATTTTAAAAACTGCACATTTATCTTTCAGAGTCAGAATGAGAAGGGAGAAATTACAAAGGAAAATTGTCTCTTGGGTAAACAATACACATTTTATAGCCTCCTATGAAAATCATTTTTTCCATTCTCTATTGTGGTTGTGGGAAGTTGAGAGAATGCATAAAATTAATGCAGACTTCATTCAAATAACATTGAACTGTGAAGCAGAGAAACAACTAGAAAATTCAATATTTCACCCATTATCTTTTAGTCATCTGACAACACTTTATTTCAACTCCCACGATGTGTTCAGTTATAGGGAGTGTTGAAATCTAACTTTAAAGTTCTGGGTTCACATTACACTCAGCACGTTTCATTAAGTCTTTGACAACATGTAGCCTCCTGTGCAAGGAAAGGAAGACGTAGACTCCGTCTGCCGGACGGTGTTCATTCAGGTTTGTGAGGTGGCGGGGGTCTCTGTCCGCACAGGATCCTACATGTTTGTACCGCCCTAAACCCGGCGTATGTTTGGTTGTTTCAGATAGCTTGTACTGACAAACACAGAGCTCATTTGTGTGCAAATATAAGGCTGAATCAATGGTGCTAAAGTGTATTATTACTGTCAGATACAATCCGGCAAAATTCTGTGGTGCTTAATTAATTTTTCATTGGCTTTACTGGATCGCTGCATTGAACGGTGTGTATTATTCACGAGCTGTCTTTATCCGTAAAGCAAGGCCTCGTACGTACCACTTGGTTAAGTAAACTGGTTGATTAGTTCATGGACCAGCTCACCAAGCTGCCATCTCTAGACTCTTTGTACTGTTGTGTCCTTGAAGGTCAGGAGGTCATGCCATGAACCTCACACTGTAGACCATCACCAGGACCAGACTCTCCCACAAGTGCTTGTGTTTATAACATGCGTGTCACGAGCTAGGATCACCCGCATGGTACCTGCCATGGCGGTCGGAGTTAAGGGCTGTGCCGTGATTTTTTCTGTATTAATTAATTCATATTTATGTTTCCATTCAAGGAGGGGTTGGGGCAGGGCGTGTCTTACCCTAGGGAAGGGTTAAATGGCTTTTTATACTATTGCATCGTCTGTACTCACCACCAATTCATTGTGTTGTAATTAAACTGTCAATAAATAAGAGAACAGAGAAATGGACATTGTGGTTTTACTCAGTGAATGATTCACACACATTTGGGATGACTATTCAGGCTGTGACCGATAGCGGTGGCCATTACTCTCCTGGTCAGCATGGGACACAGAAGGAAAATCCTGAAGTAACTGAGGCCCAAAGCTGCCTTGTGTCTGCTTGAATTAGCAAGTATATTCAGCCAGCCATGTCACGGGAGAACTGTGTGACTGCCAGCTAGGTGGCACGGCTGTGACCCAGGACGGGGCAGGAAGCGCGGCTGCACAGGACGTGTTCTGGTAGGTGCCCTGGGTGGGGCAGGGTGTGTAGGGCGTCACCACAGGGAAAGAATAAAGATCACTTTCTGGGTAAGTGAGGGCGCTGCCTGACTGGGCAGCGAGACGGCAGAGAAGGTAACGCGTGAGAAAACAAGGAGGCGAACAGGTGAACAGCAAGAAAGTAGCGTTTTAGGCCAAAGTTCGGCTCCTGCAAAGGCGCACAGTGTGACAACGTAGCACGTTTGGGACAGTGAATTATTCTGGAAAGGGAACTCCATGTCCGTGAAGGAGACGCGTGAATGTTAAGTTCACAGGCTGAGTCACAAAGGGATCAGATGCCTCTACGTCTTTGTCACCGGCCATCTGGCGGTTCTGTGGGTGACCCACTACCCTCTCTTCCTGTGCTTGTTTTTGGCTACAGTCAGAGCTGCTTCTCAGGCAACTGAGCCCCCTGAGTGGAGGAGGAGCAGGAACGATGGACTTGTCTGTCCTGGTGAGAAAGGAGGGGACATCCTGTCTGTTTTAAAGAGGCACATATTTGATAGTTAATGGCACACGGGGGCAAAACAGGATTAAATTGTCACCTGGAATAAGGTGCAGTTGCAGGCCAGGCTTTGGGGGGGGGGGCAGACACTACCGCACAGTTGCAGGAACGACGTGTGGTCACCACAGGCTGTGGGGCTGGCAGCGTCACTTCTAATATGTGAAAGCATCAAGAAGCTCGCAGGTTGGAGCCACACTCGCTTGGCTTAGGTGTTGGCGAAAACTAGGGACTATGGGTTTCTTAGCTTTCGCAGACAAGGGTCTGAACAAGCCGGCACGAGGCCCTCGCCTCGCCCAGTCTGTAGCTGGATTTCAGGGCCCAGTAACTCGGCCCCATTAGACCTCTCGTGTGAAACACAGGGTTTGCCCTGGGTGCACACAGGCCACCGAAACGGGAGGCGAATGGGATCCGCAGCCCCAAATTCCAAGGCCCCTCTGAGCTCCTATTCCCCAGCCTGATGGGCTATTTCTGCCTTGTTTAAAGACCCTTGCAAACTCCTAGAGTTTTCTCACAAAAGAGACATAACAGAGCTCTTCCCTCATTCTCAACACAGCGACCTGTCTCCAAGTCTAAACGCTGCTGCCATATCCCAGCATACCCTGCAGAATCAATTATAATGGCAAACATTGGAAGAAACAGCTGACACGCCAAACATGACAAAATCTGGCTGCTCGGTGGCGTGCAGGTTCTGGAGAATCGGAACGGATCCTGAAGGTGCCAGACCAGAAAGGGAAGAACGCATTTTTCAAGTGGCTGAATTACCAGTTTGGGTTTTGTTACTGGAGAGTCTGCAGCAAACCGGCCACGTGGGGCGGGGGGGGGGGGGGGGGTGTTGGGCAGTAAAGCTGAGGTCAGGGTGGAGGCAGTGCGAGGCAGATGTGCCACGTCCCTTGGTTTACTAAAGACACNGGGGGGTGTTGGGCAGTAAAGCTGAGGTCAGGGTGGAGGCAGTGCGAGGCAGATGTGCCACGTCCCTTGGTTTACTAAAGACACCCCCAAACACTGCTAGGGCGGGGGTGTCACGTTGTGACTCTGCCGCTGCACAGGACCCTGTCCCCAGGCAGGCCACAGGCGGGGCCTGTGATGGGGCTGGACACCGGCCAGCAGAAGGGACCCTGTCATGCTCTGTTGCTGAGCAGGGATGCAGGGGGGAGAAAGTGCAGATAGGAATGGCTTACTCTTCCCGATAAGGATTCCAGTACTCAGTTCAATCACAGACTCCACGAACGGAGAAGCCCAAGTGATAACAACTAGCCACTGAAGGCACGGGGTGTGTCTGACGGTCTTTGGAAGCAGCGAGTTAATCATGAAAGTCCCTGAGACCAAAACCAAAGCGCATCCCGGCCGGAAAGTCCCACCAGACTGGAGCGCTGACAACAGTGAGCTTGGGAGCAGAGGCCTGACGGGCCCTGGCCAGAGCGGGGCTTCCTCCACAGGCCGCACCATCCCTGCCATGGCCGAGGCCCTCTCGGCATCTGCGGTTACAGAGGCTGCACCGGCGGCCCGCGGGGAGCCTCCCAGTGTCCGCACAGCTGTGACGGTGCCGTCCCCGAAACTTCTGCCAGCGCCCGTGGCCACCTCTCAGGGGGATCGCGTTCTAGCCAGACTCAGGCAGTCTGACACTGACTCCGCTCTCACGGCTTCCCAGGAGCCCTGCCAGGGAGGGTTGCTTTCCCAGTTGTCGTGCTGGGGCTCAGCTCCCTGCAGATGGACGCAGGACTCAGGGAGGCCAAAAGGAACAACAACGGAGCCACAGGTAGGGGGTTCATGCCACTGTATTGTGTTCTTGCTGGCGGCCGGGCGAGACACAGGAAGTAGGATACGCAGGATCTGCACCCTCATGATACCTGCGCTTGCTAACGCAGCCGCGGTAGTTACATGCATGACAACAGTAGCTAATGGCCAACTGGTGACAGCTGACGGCCATCTAATACCCGGGCCAGCGCCTTTGCGCGCGAGGCCGAGGGCCTGGCAACTGCCCTCCTGGCCCTTTCCCGGCACGGGTGTTCCCGAGGGGACCAGACATACTGTGGGTACCTGTCCCCCCTCCTCATGGGTTCACAGCACTCCAGCCAGCGGGGCACCCGCCCAGGGCAAAGCGACGGCAACCTGGAGAACCCAGGAAGCTCCCGGGCACCCTCCTTACACCAGTTACAGCTACATCCCCCGGAAAACGCAGACAATTAGGGCCATGATCAAAGAGTCCAAAAACTACGATGGCCATCAATCCCCAAGACCACTGAGCCCCCCACTCCATCCGTGGGGAAAGAACGCACCCTGGAGAGCGATGGTGGATGATGTAATGATAACCAGGGGGCAATTCAGGTCGTCACGGGCATCCTGGCCGAGATTTCTGTACGGAAACCAGTTGTCCAGCCTGTCACTCGACTGGCAGCCCCTTCCAGTCAGCACAGATTATTGCATCGCACGTCCCCTGGGCGAGGTCAGCTATGGTCACTGAGTCGGAAGGGGCTGAACCACTCCTGCCCCGCCCCCTGGACTTCTCGGGACACATGCTGATGGGCGAGGCGGCGCCATGTGTGCCGACATGCGGGAAATGAGTGTCACAGGAAGTCCGCCCTGTCCAAATCTAGGCGTCCAGTTATTTAGGGCGCGTCAGTACATTCTCCATGAAGTAATAACAGTACATCTTTACTAAGTCGCCGTGATGGGACACGGTGCTTCAACGCGCTCACTCAGCAGCCAGGCCGCTGGGCCTGAGTGGGGCTCGCAGGACGCGCTGTCACAGTGTGAACGCTTCTCCATCGGGCGGCCGTTACCCAGCGCACCGGCTTATGTCCAAACTCTGGCAGACGTAACACAGAGCAGCCTTTGGAGCTCTGGGCAAGAATCACACACTTTTCATCACACAACTCTTCTCATTAGGAAAAATAATCCCTGATGTGCTGTGTGGCCTCCGGGATACTGGACCACCAGCCCCTTGATGCTGGCACTTCCTATGGCCTGACCATCTGGGCCACATGCCCGAGGCCAGGCCGGCCCACAGGGCGCCTCGGTCAGGTGGAAGTGGGCGACCAGCTGAGGGCTGGCAGCCCGACTGCACACGTTGGAGAAGCGTCACTGTGTCACGGTCGTCACGGTCCCTCGAGCAGCTGCCTGAGGGGAAATGTCCCTGTTTTGTGGGTCACTTGAAATCACTGTTTTACTGGTGCTCTTCTGTTCCAGGACTTGACAATTGATTGACATGAGACGATTATTAAGATGACAAGGTTTCATTAAAAAATTCATATGATAATATGGCAAGGCGATAACATGACAGTTCAGTGTGGAACTATTTTGAGTGAACTAGTTTCATCTTTGGACCTTACATTTCAGATACTGATTTTATATCATACGTCCTTAACCACAGCATTGCACAGTTTCAGGGTCAGGATGGCTAATGACCGTGAACATGTAAGGCACTGAGTGCTGTACGGACTCCTGAGTCCCACCCACCTCAGACTTGCTGAATTAAATTTAACAAGACACCAGCCATTTCTGATGTTTGGCCAAGGCTTGCCGTTGCTGGCTGATTTTTTCCTGAGAATATTCTTCGCTCAGACAACAGGAAGCTTGCCTTACCCAGGAGTGGGGGCCAGGTGACACAGTCCTATCATTTCCCATAACATCCAGTCACGGTCTGGGGACACAGCGGACAGTGTGCATGCCTTGTCAGGACGCTTTCTGTTTAGTGAACAGGGACTGCGGGATGAGGCGGTGACCAGAGTACATTTTCTTCTAAATAGAAGACGACTTTATAAATTTGACACTGGAAACGTCCCAATTTGAGTCTGTTTGTGGCTGTGAATTAATATCCTGGCAGCGAGGTCTGATGTAACCGCCTCCCGGACGGCACGTTTAACTGCCCAGATGTTCATGTGACATCGTCACCGTCACTCTAAGTACTGATTACACTTCTCCTGTTTTCCGGCGGTCTCCTATTTTTAAACAGTCCCTGCACGGACACAGGGAAGCGTCCTTGTTTTCTGTGACTTTCTAGTTTGCAATCTAATTGACAGATAAGAAATTCATAGTGCACCATTTGAATCTGCTTTTGTTGAAAAGGCAGCTATTTTTGTCACTTCCTGTTTCCCTGCAAAGCATGTCCTGTGCTGTGGTTTCAGCATCTGGGCCACCTTCATTCCAGGGGGCATCTGCCTGCGGCCGGGACTGGCCCCGGGCAGACCGAGCGTG